TGTTATTTCCCCATAAGGGCCATCTTTGGACAGCCTTGAACTGGGGGAAGGGCTGTCAGGCGTCCCACTCCAGGGACCAGGAAGCAGCAGGCTGAAGGCAGTTATTAAAATGAGACACCTGCCAGGGATGGAATCGCTTGCTTTTTAAAGTAAACAGAAGGAGCAGAGCTTTGGCTGTGAATTTTTGCCCGTTATTTTTGTTGCTTTCCTCTGCCAACCCCTTGTGCCAACCTCTCGGTGCTCTTTGGATGACAGTCCTTTCTATCCCTGTGTAATCACCCAAAATCACTCAGCAAGGAGCCGGCAGAGAACAGGAGATTACATGAGAGTCTGCATACTGACCAGGGGGCTGCCAAGTGCCTTTCCCCTGCTTGGCAGCCAAAACCAGGCCGCAAGGCCCAACCCCCAGCTGTGAAACTGGAGAAGCTAAACGGCTCAAAAGAAAAATGTCCAGGAATTAACAGTTGGGGGATCGGCATCTGATCATTCATTCATTCAAATACCCAACAGATATTTCTCAGCGCCTACTCTGTGCAGGCAGTCTTCTTGATGCTGCAGATTCAGCAGTGAATCAAACCAACACACATCCCTGGCCTCAAGGGGCTTCCATTTTAGTGGTGAAGACAGACGGTAAACAAAATAAGTAAACTGTACAATATATTAGGGGATGAAAGCTGTAGAGGAAAATAAGGAGGAAGGATAGGGAATGCCAGGTGAAACTTTAACTAGGGTGATGTGGGAGGGCTTGCTGAGAAGGTGACGTTTGAACAAAGACTCTATGGTGAAGCCCACCGGTTGATAAGTCCAATCCATGCACGCAAGTCTTCCAAGCAGCTGTTGGTGCCGCCTTCTTAAATATTTACAGTCAGATCTCCAGACATATGAGGATGGCCTTCAAATGTAACGCAGAAACAGAAAATAGGGGCTCAGAGGGAAAAAAGATAACGCAGGAATCAGAAGACAGCTTTGCGAACAGCCCCAGCTATAATTAATATCCTTTGAGAGATGAAGGAAATGGTGGTATCCATAAAACAAGAACAAGAAAAACAAAGGAAACAATTGAGAACAAGAAAGAACTCTTAGAAATAAGAAAAAAATTGTAGTTGGAAACAATTCAGTAAAAAAGTTTGAAAAAAATCACAATAACCCCAGAGAGATAAGGTACTGCATCCAAGAAACAAAGATAATTCTATTAAAAAAGGAACATTCAGATAAATTGAAGAGCTACTGGAAATTAAGAACATGATATCAAAAACTCAATAGAAAGGTAGGAAGATAAAGATGAGTAAATCCCTCAGGGGAAAAAAAGAGATCAAAAATAAGAGAGAAAATATAACAAATTAAGAACAAGTTCAGGAAAGCCAATATCTGATTATTAGGAGTTCCAGAAAGAGAACGCAGAGAAAATGGAAGGGAGGAAAGTATCCATAAAATAATATAAAAAATTTCTAAGAACTGAAGGACAAGAGTTGTCAGGTTGAATGGACCCTCCAAACCTCCAAGGAGCCCCCCAAAATGTATGAAAATAGAGCCTCACCAAGGTACATCACTGTGTCATTTTAGAGCACTGGGCTCCAAGGGAGGACTTTGTAAGCTTCCAGAGTAGAAAACAAACAAACAAGCAAGAAAACCACACAGGTCATCCACAAAGTATCAGGAATCAGAATGGCTTCAGATTTCCTAAGAGCAACACCGAAAGCAGAAGACAATGAGCAGTGTCGTCAAACTTCCTGGAGGAAAATGATTTCTAACTAGGAGCTATATCTGGACAAACTATGAACCAAATATGAGGGTAGAAGAAGAATGTTTTCAGATAAGCAAGGTTTCAAAAAGCTTACTTCCTATTCTCTCTTTTTTAAAAACTCCAAAATGAAAAAAAAGACTAAAAAAGAGAACGACTTAATCTGCTAATTTTCCTTCAATATCCATTCTCCCCTTCTTTCCTTTGGTGCAGACCTCCCTGAGTTTTAGCTGGGCAAGGGGCTTCCCAGAAGGGACACCACTGTCCAGCCGCCCCTGCAGCTAAGTGGGGCCATGGACTAAGTTCTGGCCAGGGGGAGGGGAGCAGAAGTAGTGTATACAAGTCCTGGGTTGAGGCGACTCCATGGAGCAAAGGCCCCTGCCTACTTCTCGACTATTATGAGAGAGAGAATTAAGCCTCTATCGTAATTTTATGTCTTTGTTACAGCAGTTTAGCTGTTACAGGAGTTTAGCTGTAACAAATACACATGGGGTGCAGGAAACAGGAGATCCAACCCAGGAGAGAAGGAAATGGAATCCCCAGGACGACAGTGAAGGGACATCTGAGGAGGAGAGCTGTGCCCCGACGTAGAGGGCAAGCAGTCCAGATCGGAGTGGTATAATTCTCCATATTGAGGGCTCTCCTGCTATATCTTTTTTAAGCTTGAGGACGGAGTGCTCAAATGAGCCTGAAGCAGATTCTTATCTGCACTTTGCTTGCCTCATGCTGACGACATTTCTGTTCTCCATGCCACACACTTGGCTAGTCGAGGGCGTACCACAATCCCACAGAAGTGATGTGCTTTGACCTGTTCCTGAGAGTGGGAGGTGGGCCATGGAAGCAGAAAATGCAGAGCAGCCCACTCCCATTGACCGTATTTCTGGGGGATGCCCGGTACTTGTTCATATAACTTGTTCAGGATGCCCTGACCACCAGGGACTCACTCAGGACCAGCACTCTGGTAAGCTCCTCAGCAAGCTGAAGCCAGTCTATGACTCAGAGCCTCTGTCCAGCACATCTTCTCCTGGGGTCCTTCATCTGATTGTCATAATATTGCCCTTTCTTTACACAGCGAGGTTGGTGTTTGCTGTTGATTTTCAAAGCTAAAATGTATTGCTTAGGGAGTAAAACTATAAAGAGAAGCCTCAGAATGATTACAACAAAAATGAGCTAGTGATTACCTCTGTGGAGGGAGGAAGGGGATACGCTGGGAAGGGGCACATGGGCCTCTGAGGTACTTTATCATGGGCTCTGCATACTGGTGCTTCATTTCTTAAACCCAGGAGGCAGATACGTGGGCGTTAATTTAAATAGAAGTAGGCATTCTATACGCTCTTCTGTATGTCTAATACATTTTACAATATTTATAAATAGGCTTAAATACCCATGAAACTCTGTGTGCCTAGGACTGGGGTTTGGGGAGGGGCAGAGTAGGAAAGACTTTTAGTATTGTTTGGCTTTTTAAACCACATGCATGTATCACTTTGATAAAATAGGACTTCTGTGCTAGACAGTGGGCGTACAAAGATGTTTAAGTGGAGGTTCTTGCCTTTGAGTGTTTCTACATCTGGCAAGAGCCCAGTACAGATGATTGACAACCACACAACCTGATGAGAATTGTAAAGTACCTCTACGCAGAGGGCTTTAGGATTACAGAAGAGTGGGCAATGGCTTTTTTTAATCAAAAGGCAGTGAGAAGAGAGGGTAGGTACAGGGGGGGATAGTCTGTAAGTCAGGCCTTGAAGGAGGAGTTTGAAAGTAAAACAAAGGCTAAGAAAGGGCATCTCAGGAGGAGGTAACGCAATGACCAAGAACAGAGAAGCATGAAAGAAAGTGCAGGCAAGCGAACTGGAGTGGATCAGGGACTGTGCGGGTTGCACACTACACAACCTCCAAGGGCGGCATTCATAGCATTGTGCAGTGCATAACCTGCACAATCATCCACAGCAGTCTGGTTGAAGGGAGTGGTAGGGCCCATAAGGGAAGGAAGAGGAAGCCAAAAGTACAAGGGTATTAAGTGAGAAATGGAAAATGGAATGTCAAATGAAAAAGGCTATTATTGAACCCTAAACATTAGTCAATAGGCTACTGTTGACATATATTCAAATTATTTGTCCTTTCAATATGAAATCGAAAAATCACATCAACCTTTTGTACTCAATGAGCGACAATAACATGTGCCTTTACAATGGTAGGGGAAAAACACAAATAAAGCTTTACATTGGTGTATTTTACATTAATACCATTCCTTAAGGTCTTGAGAACATAGAAAAGAATTGGACAAAGATCATTGTGTCATCTGTGGGTACTTCTTTATTAGAAAAGAAATTAACATTCACACTAGAGACTGCAGAAGGAAATTAATCTGGCAATGCTGGAACAAACTTCACAGTGAGGGATTCTTGTTTTCAAAGAGTAGGGGAAAAAAGGAGAGAGAAAATCATTTAGGACAGTGTTTCTCAAATTTGGCTACTTTCACAGACCTTCTTGGGAGAAGGAGTTGCAAGTTTCCTATGATAATGTTTTAAATTTTATGTTTTACTTTTGTTCATAATCTAAGCAAATTAACCCGCACTTGTTCAGGATTACCTGGACAACCATCTTATATAACAGTGTAGACACATGATCACAGCATCTGCACTTGGACCTCTGATCCCTGGGCACCAAGGGAAGGCCAACTGTGCTTAACTTTTCATTTGGAGTTTCTCATATGGTGTCCTCAGACCCTTCAGGGAATTGTTGAACATTTCCTATGAGATCAGTGAGTTTGTGAAGGTAGAGAACACTGGTTCAGAGCAGTGATTCTTGAGACAGGGGTAGGGTGGAGTGGGGATGGTGACCAGGGAGACACATGCAGTTTGAAAAAGCACATTCAAAATACTTAGTCATTTCATAATACAAACTCCATAAAGTCAAACTCAACAAAATCATTTTCAGGCAGTAGCAGAAAACCAACTATAGATTCATCCTAAGGGGCTTGGGATAAACTTGGTTGAGAAACACTGGCTTAGAGGTAGAGGAGTCCCAGCACATCATGTAGGACAGTCAGTAAGAAACACGTGCCAAAGAGAGAACATCGTTTGGGTCAGTGAGCAAATTATAAGCCATAACTTGTCATGGTCTTTTGGAACCCAAAGGACTGATCCAGAAGAAACCCAAGACATCCATCAACCTTCTCATACTTGTGGTTTGGGGCAAGTTGGGCCATTTTTAATACCGAGTCAAAAAAGAAAAAGCTGCTCCCCCCCCCTTTTTTGGGGGTTAACATATTGCAGAATTTTAAGTCAACAGTTGCTGTCATTGGGTAAAGGTAGCCCCAGATCCATCCACCAGGAAGTGCGGTCATCATTTGCAATGCCTTTCAGCTCTCAAGGGGGACACATCAGCCTGGGGTCAGCTCTGCCAGGAAAAAACACAAAGAGTTGGATTTTCTTGGAAAGGTAAATTCCCCTCATTTCCCTTCATCACCAGAAAATTGACGCTTGCTATTTAAACACAATCTGTTACAGATGGCCTTGAGATGCAGTTGCCAGCAAAATACTGAGAGCATATAACGCAAATAAAGAAAACTTGTGAATATGGGGGACTCTAATGGCCACCCGAACATAGATAGTTGAGGAAATGGTATTTCCCATCTTCCCAGGAATGTCATTAGTTTTCTTCCATTCTTCATCTAAGCCTAAATTGCTAAAAAGTGTTTCAGAATAGAAAACATTTGGCACCACAGTTAAGTGGGTTTTGAGCTCTTTAGTGCATGGGGTGAGGCCAGGAAGCTGACCCAATCAGACACCATGCTCACCTGCTGTGAGGATGTTGTAGAATTGTGATTAGAAGGTTTGTAATATTAACTATTTTATTTCAAGGGCTTCAGTTGTATTTTTTCAGATCTTTTTTTTTTACTTCTCTTCTGTTGCTATTCTGAGTAACCACCAGAAATTATACATACTCATTGCTCAAGGGTGAGTTATTAATTAGTGGACAATAAATACTCCTCAAAGACCATTTTGGTTTAAAAACCATAAACTTTTCCTTTGACTAAAAAAAACACTCGGTCTCTCTCCGCGTGTGAGCCAGTGGAATTGGCCGAGCTGGATGCTAGCTAGCACTAACAAGAGCTGGGGGAGAGGGGAGCTCATCAGACCCCACAGCATGCTGGTTCCTTTCTAACGAGTTCTTCACCCTACGGTTTTCCATTGAGCCAAGGATCTCCTTTAGGTTACAATTTTAGAAAACTTTGTTTTGGCGTTTGGGAAGCCAGTTAGATTGAAGTGATGTGCAGTGTGAACACGGGTAAAGCAAAAATTACCTTGATTTCACGTTGCACTTAGACTCATCCAGGTTGCTTACCAAGGCCTGTGTGCTCTGGCCCCTGCCCACGTGTTACTCCTCTTCTTCCTCACTGAGCTTCACTCGGGCTGCTCTTGCTTGCTTTCTGTTCCTTGAATATTCCACACTTGTCACCTCAGGGCCTCTGCACTTGCTCTTCCCTCTGCCTGAAAAGCTCTTCTGCCTCATCCTCACGTAGCTGTCTCCATCTCGTCAACCAGGTCTCAGCCTAACCAGCCCCTCTGAGAAAGGCCTTCCCTCACCATTTCAGCTAAATTTGCTCCCCACCCCCTACCATGTTCCATCACATTATTCGATTTATTTGTTTGAGGAATTATTTACTTACTTGTTTTGATGTCTACCTTTCCAGAATAAGTTCCATGTTATCTTTTTGTTCATCACTATATTCCCAGAGCCTAGTACAGAGTGTGGCACATGCTAAGTGCTTATTCGATATTTGTTAAATGAAGGTTGAGTGAGATTTCCTCCCATTGACACAATTAATCCCTTTGTAAAATGGGAAATCTCATACATGACCTCACAATTCCTCAAATCATGCCAAATCATTCTTTCCCCAGCCAGAATGCCTTCCTAGGTTATCATAAAACATGGCAGTAGAATTCTACTGTCTCCCAGTGTTCTGGGCCCAGCATCCCACCTGTCACTCACCTGTAATTATTCTAGAGCTCCAATTTGCTTTAGCCGCGGCAACAGTTCCCCCCTCTGTTGCATATTTGCTAGATCAGTCCATCCACCTATACAGTCTTTACCGATAAAGACCCGAGGTACCTAAAAAAGCAAACAAGCCAGGACTTAAGGAACTTAATTATTAGGTTAGAAAGAATGACACTTTATCCTTCCTCTCAATATTTCCCATGATCCAAACCTTTTCAAATTACTTTACAACCTCCTCATGTATTTACTTTCAGGTCAGAACTTTCTGTTATATGCATAAAATTATTCATTAAAGAATGTTTTCAAGCCAAGATGTTTTTCAAATTGGGTATGCTGTGCATGAGATTGTCCAACTTGTCAAAGTGATTTAAAAATTTCCCTCTACAGAAACACGTTTCAGGGAAAGAATTTTGGTTGGCTGCAGCTAGACCACCCGGGTTGAATTCTGGTTTCTCTGCAGCTGGGACCACACCTGAGCCCGTAAGCTGAGCCATGGCAACCAGGAAGGAGTTTGTTTCTAAATACAGTGGGAAAAGTATTTGTATTAGGCCTCCGTCCTCAATTTTTAGGTCCACAGTTTATTATAGTAGTCCTTCTCTGCTGTGAGCTCTGTGCTCAGCTGGGGAAGGCGTGATGGTGTCTGAGTCTCCTTCTTTGATCCCTGGCCCATCGAGAAATGTTTAAGTGCTGCAGCTCTGGGAGAGAAGGACATTCGTCTGCTTTGGTTGCACACCTGGCATGGGTGGGTCACCCAAGGCAAGCCAGACTGACCCAGTCGTTACAACCACTGGATGCGTTTATCTCCAGTCACACTGAGGCTCCCGCCCTGCTGCTAGGTACGTTCCAGAATTGGAATCCTGAAGGAGGAAGTCTTCTCACTGTGGCCCAGACAACTTCCAGGCCAAGAGTGTTACAGAAAGGCTGACAGGCAGTGAAGAAACACCAACAAGATAGGCCACCTGAGTGGTCAGGCAAGCAGGTCCTCTCTCTCAACTCTAGGAACATACCAGAAAGGCTGGGAGAGGTGAGAGATAGAAAGAGGTAAGAATATTTTCAAAGCTGTTGATTTTCTCAGAAGGCATAATAATTCAAGTGAATTTTTTTTTTTAAAGTAAGAGAGATGAGAAAAAGGGCTGAATTATTTTGGATAAGTCCTTACAGTATTTTATTAAGAAGGGGTCTGGGTGGAAGTGGGCTTTGAAAATTCAGGCCAAGATTAAAAGACTCCTGTGCCACATTTCTGTGGCTAGTTCCTGTGCCCCAGGAGTGGGAAAGCACACAGAGGACCACGTTCTGGGGAAGCCTGGTAACACTGTCCTCTTCAGTCACAGAAGGTGCAGCACGTGGCCTGGTGTGGGTTTTGCAGAGGGGAAGCACTATCAAGGCAACATTGTTTCAACAGCTGAAAGAATAGCGGCAGAAAGATGAAATCAGAAACCGAAGTTTTCCCCTGGGTCCTGGCTGTTACTTTAGAGAAAATAAAGCTCCCCCCCCACCCCACCAATTGTTGGGGGCTTTTTGGCTTTATCTCCCCAGAAACACTTGGCTGTGGTCAGTTGTACCAGTAAATTGAACAGAATCCTAATGTAATTCTGATATAATCATACTGCAGAGCTCCTTCTGCTGAAGGCATTGCCTGAGGAGATAAAAATCACCTGAGCTTTAAATACATAAGGATGTATTCATTCTGGAACTTCTATATTTTCAAAAAGAATTGAGCAATTGTCACTCCTACGGCTTGCCACAACTCCCCCTCCGCCCAGGGTGTTGGCAGAGGGTTGAGCTAAGCTAGTTGGTGAGAAGGCCCTGAGGAGCAAGGAGGCCTCTCCTCACACAGGGGTTCTCAGACCAGGACGAGCGTCAGAACCGCCGGGGGGCTTGTTACATCGATGTCTACTCACCTCCCCACATTTCTGATAGAGGATATCTGGGTTTGGGGCCCAAGAATTTGCGTTTCTGACAAGTTCTCAGGTGAAGCTGACACGGCTGCCCGAGGGATCACGTTTGTAAACCACTGGTTGACACTGAGCGGCCGATCCTTCCTCCCAGGGTAGCTGTGGCTTTGAAAACCCACAGCCCCATCGCCTGAGACAGGCGGTGAAACGTGATCACCCTGTCTCCAGGGTGGAGCTGTGTGCACACCATCTGGCAGAGGAGCCGGTTTGCCTGAAACTGAAAGGCCCCTTTGCCCTTACACACCCCGTCTAGTTGGGCAACAGCAAAACCACTTAAAGCCCACCAGTTACTGGCACCCCCAAAAGGAGCTGAACCACAGGCTGCACAGGACAGTGTGGGGGGCGGTGGTGACAAAATAGGAAACTGTTGATTCAGCTGAGGAAGGATGAGGAAATGCACCCTCTGTGCCTTCCCCTCCTGGCCCCAGCCCCCTCTTCAGAGGAACTTGCTAGTCTGTTACTGTCAAGAAGCAGAAAGAGAACTGCCACCATAAAAACAAGCGTGGTGGGCGGCCCCGTGGCTTAGCGGTTTGGATCCCGGGCGCGCACCGACGCACCGCTTCTCCGGCCATGCTGAGGCCGTCCACATACAGCAACTAGAAGGATGTGCAACTATGACATACAACTATCTACTGGGGCTTTGGGGAAAAAAAAAAGGAGGAGGATTGGCAATAGATGTTAGCTCAGAGCCGGTCTTCCTCAGCAAAAAGAGGAGGATTAGTATGGATGTTAGCTCAGGGCTGATCTTCCTCACACACACAAAAAACAAGCGTGGTAATACTAGGGCCCTTACTCTTCTGGAGGAGGTTCCTCCAGCCCCAGCCTCAGCAAGGCGGCATCTTCTGTGCTCTAAGGTTACTCAGGTGCAGCTACTCAAAGCTCCTTCTCAACATTCCTCACCACCTCCTTGGCTACGTTGCTGGTACAAGCCACCAGCATTTCTCATCTGAATTATAGCTGGAGCCTCCAGGTGTCTCCCAGCTTCAACTCTCACTCTGGCCTTCCCATAGTCTCTTTTCCCGACAGCCACCAGAGTGACCCTTTCAAAATGAAGCCAGATTCAAAACTAACTCCTCTGCTTGTCTCATATCACAAGCCACAGTTCTCATGATAGCTTGAAAGCCCTTCCCAACCCATACCCCATCATCTCTTCCTGCTCTCCTACCAGCTCACAATGCTCCAGCCACACAGGCCTCCTTGCCAGGCACACTTCTGCTGCAGGACCTTTGCACTTGCTGTTCCCACTGCCTTTATGCTCTGCCCCTAAATGTGTGCCTTGCTCCCTCACCGCCTTTAGAAATCTACTTCAATCACTAAGGCCCTGATGGCTCCACTTAAAACTGTACCTTGCTCCCTACTGCCTACTTCCCTGTCCTACTTAGCTTTTCTCCATAATGCATATCACTTACCACCTTCTAACATATTATTTATTGTACTTACTAGAATGTAAGTTCCACAAAGGCAGGAGGGTTTTTTTTGTTCTGTTCTTGGCGGTGTTTCCAATGTCTGGAAAAGTGCCTAGTAGGTAGTAGGTGCTTAAAAATGTGTTGTCCAAGTGCCTATTGACTGATGATTGGATAAAGAAGATGTGGTATATATATATACAATGGAATACTACTCAGCCATAAAAAAAGACAAAATTGTCCCATTTGCAACAACATAGATGGACCTTGAGGATATTATGTTAAGCGAAATAAGCCAAAGACAAACACTGTATGATTTCAGTCATATGTGGAAGATAAACTAACACATGGACAAAGAGAACAGACTAGTGATTACCAGAGGGGAAGGAGGTTGGGGGCTGGGCATAAGGGGTAAAGGGGCACATTTATATGGTGACCGACAAATAATAATATACAACTGAAATTTCACAATGTTATAAGCTATTTTGACCTCAATAAAATTTTTAAAAATGTGTTGTATCCAGCAAAATTATCCTTTGAAAGTGAAGGAGAAATAAAGACTTCCACGCAATCAAAAATTGAGGGAATTTGTTGCCCATAGACCTGCCTTGCAAAAAATGTTCAAAGAAGTTCTTCAAGGAGAAGGGAAATGGTAGAGGTCAGAGACTGGGATCTACATAAAGAAAGGAAGAGCTTTAGAGAAGGAATAAATGAAGGCACTGATCTAGGAGCTGTGGCTATAGCAAAACCAAAACAGGTTTCTCCATGTACACAGCTAATGGAAGGCCTGAGTGTCTGTAATCAGTCAAGTCCAACTGGCCTCCTACTGTATGCACAGCAGCACAGTCAGCAAGGAGGAGTAAGATAGCAACCGTTCTCAAGTTTTCAGTCTTTTCGAATATAAACTCTTCACTGTCAGGGATCATGAGGCATACAACTTCAAAGGATTTATTCTTCCCCTTGGAGGAATGCATTTAGGACTCAAGAACCCACGAAAAATATTTTTAAAAATTCAAAAACTTAAATGACCACTAGAAGAAAAATTGTTGCTTTACAAATGAAAAAAAAATTTGTTGAATGAATGCATGAAGAGGTTTGTTTTTCCTGCTGCAGAATAGAGGCTGCCTAGCTGAGAGCCATAGCTCCCAAAACTTGTGGCAAATTGGAATTACCTGGGGATCTTTCTTTTGATAGGAAATAAATTTTTTTCCTAGCTTTATTGAGGTATAATTGACAAATTTGTATATATTTAAGGTGTACAATGTCATGGTTTGATGTATGTATGTTATGAAATATTACCACAGTCAAGTTAATTAACATATTCATCACCTCACATGGTTACCATTTTTGTGTATGCAGTGAGTACACTTAAGATCTACTCTCCACAAATTTCAAGCATACAATACAGTATCACTATCATTAACTATAATCATGCTGTACATTGGATCCCCAGAACTTATCCATCTTATAGCTGAAAGTTTCTACCCTTTGATCTAGGGAGCTTTACAACTACTGAGGCCTGGCTCCCACCTCTGACACGGTGATTGGTATGGGGTATGACTTGGGATTGGGATTTTTTTTAAAAAGCTCCTCAGGTGATTCTAATGTGCAGCAACACTCGAGAACCAGTGGCCGAGAGGGGTCCATGGCAGTGCTTGTACTGCCCTTTCTCAGGACCTGGGCAGCCTGTACAGCTGGTGGTCCAGCTTAGCAGCAAGAGTCTCTCTCACCATTGTCTCCTCTGCTCCAGGACCTCCCAGAGGCAAGAGTCCTCAACTCACAGCTGGGGCCCTGGGAGCAATAGGGTAACAGGTTTAGCCTCTTTCTGCTCCAAAATGCTGATTGCTGACTGGAGAGGCGGGGAGAAACAGCCTCCCTGCTTGACACTGAGAACCCAGAGAAAACCCTGGAAGTCAAACTAAAACTGAACTAGGATATGAACCTCTGCAAACACTATGTCCTAGAACGTGCATCCTGAAAGGGAACTTGGGTGAGCTGGGGGCCATCACTCACCCCAGCCAGCACCAGAACTGTTACAGGCAATCTGGCTGGCTGGGCATCCCACAGGAAGCCATGGACACAGAGGAAGAGGAAGCCTTTTCAGATAAAGGAGAGCTGTGCTTAGAGGGTCTCTCCTTCTATTCACGGCAAAGGGGATGTAGAGGTCGCCTACTCTAGTCTGGTCTTGCAGCCAAGGAGGTCCTTGAGGATCAGAGAGGTGGTGACTTGCCCAGGCTCACACAGCAAGCCACTGTGAGAGCCAGGCGGGAACTCTGGCCTCTGGACTTCCTATTGTGGCAGGCCTGGAAACATCCCGTCATTTAGAACAAGGGGCAAAGAACAAGCCGTTAGATTTTGCCAGTGGGAGGAGTTAGATAGGATAAGGAAGAAGGAGCGAATTAAAGAGAGCCTAAAGACTGAAGGTCAGCGAATCCCGCTCGGCTGTGTGACAACAGAAGAAAGAGTGCGCACGATTCCCCTGTTCACTAACAGAAAGGTTCAGATCACACTGGGCCCCTCCACCCGCCTTCCACCCCCAGCCCTGCAAGCTGCAAACTGTCATGCCGCGGCAGTGCCTAAAACAAAGACTCCAGATAACTCCTCCACGACGCCCGGACAGCCGCCGGGCCACTGACCCTGACGCAGTCAGCGGTGCCCCTCCTCTGAGCCGAGGGGACCCTTGGCTGCGGTCCAGCCGCCCGTTCACCGGAGCCTCTCGCTCAGGCGCCCTCCCCCACCCCGCACAGCCCTCCCGCCGCCTTGAGTGACGGAGCCCTAGCGGTGTCCTAGAGAAAGGCACCGGCGGACCCTGCTCACAGCCCAGACAAGCAAAAGGAATCCGGGAGCCTTTTTTCCAGCCTTTTAGAGCGAAACCCCAGGCTCACCGTTCTGGCTCCTGTGAGCTCTTGAAAATAATCTTGGATCTCGCTTGCGTCGTCCCCGGTGGCTGTGATATCGACAAATTCCAAAGACCCTTGTTTGAAGGGCAGTTGGCTGAGGAGCTCGCGGGTCCTCCTGCAGAAGGGGCAGGTGGGCTTGATGAACACAACCACCTTCCCAGGCTGGATTTTGCTCTTCACAAACTCTTGAGCCATGCTGACAGGTTGCTGCCTCCCAGGAGGAATCCTCAATTGCAGGTATTGCTCCGAGCGTAAAGCGGAGGCCCAGCCAGCTGGCTCTCATTTAAAGGAACCTCCCTGGAGGTGGAGTTTGTCGGGTAGCGTGCTCGAGTTTTAAAGGGACATTCCCCAAGTCGTTTTAGTCTGGCGAAATTCACCAGCTAGAAATGCTGAGGAATGCACACTTGTATTTAATCATCGATAGCTAAGCCCTGTGCGTCATTGTCCTCAGATCTTTCAGGAGTGCCTGCCCGTTGGCAGAGAGCAGAGTCAAATAACCCTCTGGGGAAGCACAAAGTGCACAGACCAGCCCCAGGGAGGGGGTCGAGCAGGCAGTGACCTGGTAGAGTAAAATCTTTATTTCCTTCTCAGAGACACAGGTTTTTGAAACACACCCAAACAGAATCATTCAAGAAACCCAACGCATTGAAATCTCTTTAGAAGTGAAATTGAAGTTGTGACTTTGCGTTCCATCTTGAGGTTGCTCCCAGGGCGTTTTGTTTGGCTTGCACAGTGGGTGTTTGCTATTGTGATTGTTTTAATGGCATTAGTTCTCAACATTTAAAAATCTAGACATTTCACAAAAGAATCTGGACTTGCAACCTCTCTGAAATTCAGGTCACATTGCTCTGTGGCAGCAGCCGGGGCTGAGTAACTGTTGTCTCCTCCGGACAGGCAGACCGTGGCTCAGTTTACCACAAGCCCCCTGGCTAGCTCCTGCCTTCCAGACACCTGCCTCTTCACCCCATAAGCCTTTGCGTTTGTGACCCTTGAACAGCAGTTTAGCATGGAAGCAAATTCCAATACAACCCTGTGATTTCAAACTACAGATTCCATGAGGGTCTTTTTCTCAGTTTGTGACCCTTTGTTTCCACTGTGGGGGAGTGGAAGTGGTGTAATAACTCAGCTACCACATTCGCCTCAAGTGTTCGAAGACCTGAAGCAGGGGCTTGTAGAACTAGAAAACCTGATGCTCTTCCTGTGGTGCCCACGCTCCCTAGTGGGGGAAGCAAAGTCTTCTGTTCAAGGTTCTAGATAAGATATCTTATCCCCCTCTTGCCGTACACCACTTTGTGTGCAGTAAGTTCAATAAACAATAAAGGAAAATTCCAATAAAGGAAAAACCACCTCCTTTAAAAGTGAGTCATCCTTTTCCTGACAAAGTTTTACGCTGAAACTGGAGTATCTCCTGAGAGGTGGGGCCCAGGCCAGAGCTGGACGCCTCCATTTGTTGTCATGTGGGTGGAATCCCCAGTGTAGTGTGATTGAGAGAAGGAAAGAAAATTGACTCCTGGCCGGCCCAGTGTCTTAGCGGTTAAGTGCTTAAGTGCGCGCGCTCCACTACTGGCGGCCCAGGTTCGGATCCCAGGCGCACACCCATGCACCACTTCTCCAGCCATGCTGAGGCCACGTCCCACATACAGCAACTAGAAAGATGTGCAACTATGACATACAACTGTCTACTGGGGCTTTAGGGGAAAAACAAAAGGAGGAGGATTGGCAATAGATGTTAGCTCAGAGCCGGTCTTCCTCAGCAAAAAGAGGAGGATTAGCATAGATGTTAGCTCAGGGCTGATCTTCCTCACAAAAAAAGAAAGAAAATTGACTCCTGGAAGTAGCTGTAATTATTACTAAAATTAGATGGCAAAATGAGAAACCCAGATTCTGAGTCACAGAGAGGGAGCTAATAAGTGAGATCTCTGTCAACAAAAAGAATGTTATAAAGCCAGGAGGCCTGAGCCAACTGGTCCTGGTCAGGGCTTGGGACTTCCCAACCCATAGCTTCACTTTCTTCCTGAATAAGCTCATGGCAGAGTTCATGTCACCTCTCTTCATTTTCTTCCTTTATCCTGGACTCCCCTGGCCAGGCCCCACCTGAGGCCCAGGGTCTCTTCGGCGCCCTCAGAGCTGCCGCCTTCTGTTCACCAGGCCCAAGGTTCATCAGCACACCTGGTACCTGGCTCTTCCCTCAGAGGCTTTCTCTTCTTAGGGCCTGGGGTTCACCTCTCCCTCTCTGCTGGCTCTTTTTCCTCAGCGTGTGACAATGTTCCCCACTCTCCCTTGATAAAAATCACCAGCACCTTCCATCTCCTTTTCCCTGTTTTCCTACCTTTGCCCTTTCCTTAACAGCCACGTTTCACGAAAGCCGCTGTTCTGTTTGCTCTGTGCACTTCACTCACCTCCCACTCTCCTCACTTCATTGCAGTCTGACCTGCTTATCACCTGTTCTGCTGCAAGTCCTTTGGCCAACATCAACTACGACTTCTACATTGCTGAATCACCCTGCAGCCAGGTGTCCTGCCGGAGACTAACTCAGAAGTGTGGGTGTGGAGTTTTTGGTAAAGTGGTGGAGTGAACCTCCTACAGGACCTGTTTGCAGAGAGGCCCCTGGGGGTTTGGGTACCTGGGGTAGAGACTGGGGTACTGGGGGACTCTCTCGTCTGCCCTACAGCTCAGCCCCCGGGACTGGTGTCTGCAGCCTTAGGACAGATGGCCGCAGGACACAAGCTGAAGAGGATATTTTCATGAGGGACTATGTGAGACATGGCACACAAACAGATGGCAGAGAGGAGGCATCTGCTGCATTTCTCAGAAAATGCCGTGGCTTCAGCTCAGTGAAGAATTCAGAGCATAGAATACCCTGCTTCAGCGACATTGTGAAGGTTTGTAGTTTTGGCCCACCAGGAGACGGAAACCACGGATCTGAGGGGCATTTCAGGGGGGTTGGAGGGAGGCCCTGTCCTCAAGTGCTGTGGACATCAAGAGGGCTGTGTCTGGAAGAGCACGTGAGGACTCTTCCTGGGCTTGTGCCTGACACCCTCAGGCACTCCCAGAAATAAAGGGAAGCAAGGACTTTTTTTTAAGGGAGTGGAGATTCTGCTATGCAGGCAACAAGCTTGTGATATGTGTGAAATATAGGTTATTACTATTAATGTAATCTCATTTGTACCCACATGCTGATGAGGGCTGGGAAAATTTGGCCACAAATGAAGCTTTTTCAGGCTTTTTCTTGCCCCCTTGGCAGGATTTCTGTAGAAATCCACTGTGCAGATCCACTGTAGATCACTGTCCCCCTCTTGAAGCTCTCTTCTTCTAAACATCATCTGCAGCTTGATCTTCTAATTCTTCCCGTATCTCTGGGTATTCTGTCTCAGCCTCTTTCTCAGGAATTTTGCCTACGTACATGGTATATCCTAGGGCTTGATCCTCTTCTCACTATGCACACACCTCCTTGAAAGATTTTATCTGCATATGTGGCCCCAGCTATCACCTTTTTCTTGATGAGTACATATTTATATGTCTTGTCTAGACCTCTTTCCTAAGCCCCATGGATGGCTAGTTCACTGCCTACTGAGAAGACCCGCCTGATGGTTCCTCAGGCATCTCAGCCTCAGTGTGACCAAAACTGAAGCCACCCCCCTCTCTCTTCCATACCTGCTCATCCTCCCATGAGTACTGTCATCTACCCTGTCTGCCAGGGCGGAAACCTAGGAGGCATCTTTACTGCCCCTTCCTCCCCTGCCCCCTGCTGTTATTTATGCAGAGTGACCAAACTCTAACACTTCTGCCTCCTAAGTACCTCCGCAGTCTGAACACCCTTTCCATCCTGACTGTCTGTCTTGGCGTAGCTCTCAGCAGCTCTCCGCTAGATCTTGTTAGAACCTCCATCCTGGCCTCACTGCCTGGCCCTACACTGCTGCTGGGGGCATCTTTATGTATGCAAATCCTGTCGTGGTCTCTCTTTTTCTTAGAAGCCTTCCATTTTTCGCTAGGATGAACTCCAGATTCCCTAGTGGGGATGTGGCCCCCATGATCGGTCCTCCCTTCCTCCTTAGCCATATCACCACCTTTTATATTCCATATAAAAGCTGGAATATATTTATTCCAGCTGTATGGAGTCTGAGTGGTGCCACACTCCGGCTGCTCGTACCTTCATTGCTTTGGACTTGCTGCTCTCTCTCCCTAGAGTGCCGCCCCCTCATTTCTGTGTGGCTGACTCCTGCTGATCCAGATCATGTGTTGACTCCTCCAGGAAGTACCCCTGAACACGTACCTCTTTTCCCCACTGGAGTGGGTGCCCTCAGCTGAGCTCACACAGCATGCTGTGCCTTGACTCATCCCATTTCATTGTTCTTTTTTATTCTTTTTCTGTCATCTACAGTGAGCCCCTTGAAGGCAGGGATAGGGCTTTCATCCCTGTATTGCCAGAGCCCAGATGCACACTGGTCCTTATCCATCCACCTATGCATCCATCCTACAAACATTTATTAATCGACTACTCTGAGCCAGACACAGGGATCAGTCACATGCAGCCCCAGTCCTTAGGAGTTTACAGTCTACTGGGGGATGCAGACATGGAAAATGGACACAGTGTTATAGTGTTTTCTAGGTAGTATAATAGAAGTGCATATGGGCACTAGAGGAACCCAAAGAGAGTGCTCATTCCCACCTGGAGGCTGCTTAGGGAAAAGCTGACAAAGGTGAGCTAGGCCGAGTCTTGAGAAATGAGATGTTTGTGAGTCCACAAAGTGGGGAAGGGCACTGCAGGCAGAGGGGACAGGAAAAGCAGGGATGGCATAAACGGCGTGTGGTGTTGAGTGTAGTTGCGTGTGGATAGGGAGAGGGGAGAGAGCGAGCTGGAGAGCAGGCAGATCCGTGGTGTCCTTTACCAAGCTAAAGAGTGAGGACTTGATGCACAGGCAGGGAGGAACCATAATAGGTATATCTGAAGGATGAGTAGATTTGCAGGTAAATATTTGATGAATTAAGGACTTTATCACACCTCCCAAGTAACACAAGGCGTGCCTAAACGCAGTTTGCCCAGAGAAGGGCTCTAAGGAGTGGTAGCAATGCTTTGGAGCAGGCAAACCTTTCAGTGTCCTTCAAGGCTCACCCTGGGACCAGTCCTGGCTTCCACAAGGCTTGAAATGGTGCAAAGGGGCAGCTCAGTGGGTGGTGGGGTCTGAGCTGCCCTCAAGACTTCCCAGACTACTTACAGCCACCCTTACCCCTGTAGATGTGCTGCTGTAGGGGGTCACGG